AGGTGGGTGGATCACCTGAGGTCAGGAGTTTGAGACCAGCCTGGCCAACATGGTGAAACCCCATCTCTACTAAAAATACAAAAATTAGCTGGGCATGGTGGCGAGCACCTATAATCCCAGCTACTCGGGAGGCTGAGGCAGGAGAATCGCTTGAACCTAGGAGAGGGAGGTTGCAGTGAGCCAAGACTATACCATTGCACTCCAGCCTGGGCGACAAGAGCAAAACTCCATCTCAAAAAAAAAAAAAAAGAAAAGAAAAGAAAAAAAGAAAATATAGGAGTAAATCTTTTTGACCTTAGATTGGACAAAGCCTTCCTAAATATGGCATTGGAAGCACAAGCAACAAAAGAAAATACAAACATGAAAATTTAAACCATTTGTACTTCAATGGAAACCATCAAGAAGAATGGAAAGAAAACCCACAGAATGAGAAAAATTTTGCAAATCACATATCTAATAAGGGACTTGTATCTAAAATATGAAAAGGACTCTTGAAACTCAACAACAAAGAATTTTTAAATCTGCCCAATTAAAAAAAAATGCAAAGTCTAAATATACATGTCTCCAAACAACAAATGGCCTATATGCATATGAAAAGATGTTCAACATCATTATCTAAGAGAGAAATGCAAATCAAAAGCACAATGATGAAAGGCCTAGTTCACACCTACTGCAATGGCTATGCACACAAAGATAATACAAGTGTTCACTCACTGACAAGGATGTGGAGAAATGAGAACTCACACGTTGCTAAAGGGAATGTAAATGGGACAGCTATTTTGGAAAACAAGTCTAGCAGCTCCTCAAAAAGTTAAACATGAATTACTATATAATCCAGCAATACCACTCTTGGGTATATACCCAAGAAAAATGAAAATATATGTCCACACAAAAACTCACACACAGATGTTCATAGCAGCATTGCTTGTAATAACCAAAAAGTAGAAACAACCCAAATATCTATCAGTTGATAAATGGCTAAACAAAATGTAATACAGCCATACAATGGAAGATTATTTGGCCATAAAAACAAATGAAGAACTGAAACATGCTACAACATGAATGAACCTCAAAAGTATTGTGCTAAATGAAAAGCCAGTTCCAAAGGGCTTTACTATACAATGCGTTTAGGAAACATCCCAAATAGGCAAATCTAGACACAGAAAGTAAATTAGGGGTAGCCTACGGCTGAATGTTGGGAGGAAATGGGGAGTGAATACCAATGGGTTTCTTTGGGCAAGACAAAAATATTCTAAATTTGATTGTGGTGGTGATGCACACACTGTGAATATACTAAAAAAATCACTGTACTGTACACTTTCAATGGGCAAACTGAATGATTTGTGAATTACACATCAATATAGTAACAAAAAAACACTTCAAATGACTTTCCATTGTCTGAAAGATTAAATGTTAAACATATATCCTATCTGTCTACCACTCTGACACCCACCCTATGCTCCTGCCATAGGAAACTACTTGAGTTCCTTGAAAGTGCCACCATTTCTCATCCCTTGGCAGTGTTATTCCATCTATTTAGAAGTTCCTCATCTTACTGTCCACCTCATGAACTCCCACTCATCCTCCAGGTCCAAGGTCCTTTGTTTCCACTGTTTCCTGAACAATGTCCTCCCTAACTACCCCTCCCACTTCACAAGCTTCCCTCCCTGCTCTGCACACTCCTTGACACTGAATCTGTGGGTTTTATTACAAAATTTATCAACAGTGTTGTAAAATTATCTGTCTACATTCCTAAGCAGAAAATTGCCTTCTCTAGGTCAAGGTCAGTTTTTTACCTGTTGTTTCCCTGACTATCACAGTACTTCTATACACTCAATGATAATTACTAAATAGATCATAAAACTAATTTTGGTATTAATAATGCACTAATCCACAAGTAACAAACTATCTGTCCCAGATGTTACTCGTAACAGTATAAATGTAATCATGTATTTGTCATTTGGAATATTGATTCCTTTATAAAATAAGCCCAAAAAATAATACCTCGTTTGTTCACTGATGAAGGAGGAAGGAAGCTTGCTGGCATGGACCTCAGACGAGAATTCTCAGTGGCTTCTAAGAATGGTTCTTTCAGGTGATCTGCAATCAATCCCACCCACCCAAAGAACTGGGTTATAACACTTCAATTTCAAAGTATCACATATTTTCTTATCAAGTATAAACAAATGCCTACTATACATCTGTTATGGTTGTTACATATATCCCTTGTGATAAATCAAGAACTAATTATTTCATTAATAAAATTATTCATTAAGCACTTAGCTATTAATGCTAAGGAATGACTAAGGAATCTAAGAAAACATTAATATAAACATACATACAACTGAATGAAAAAATAATGAGGCAAATTCAGATGCCATGAAACAGGGAGAAAACCACCCACCTTTCTTCCAAATGTTAACAGACTACTGTCATATTTAATATTTAATGTATTATAATCAATATATTCTGGTAATAATCAGATGAAATACACTACTAATTCACAAACAGCTGGAGGGTATGTACACTAGAGAAAGAATTTGATTTAGAAGCACAGGCCAGCCCGACCTTGCTGAGCTTCAGTTTCTTCATCTATAAAAATGAAATGGTTGGATTAGCTCATCTCTGAGGTACTTGCAAGCAAGCTTTAAATTTCTGTGCTACTTATATAGAAAATGAACTGTCATACAATTCCCAGTGTAATCTGGGAATAGAGTAGCAGAAGCCTCTGTTGAAAATTATCCCATTCATAGAAGGTAATCTTGGTAATCTAACTAATATTAATATAAACCTACCAATGGTTTCTCCCCATAATTTCAGGGCAGTCTACTCCAATTAACCTCTGGATTGGAAAAAAAAATAAGAAAAAGAAAAACCACCACATTTACAATAAAAGAAAAATAAATGCTAAAAATATCAGGCAATGGACAACCCTTTTCATAAAAATTCATAATTTCCCCATCTGAAAACTTCAAAAGTGGCTAACTAAATGAAAATTTATTGAAATGTTTCCATGTACATGTTGAAAATGTCATTATTTAAAATCTAAGTTTACCCACTTCATTTCTGTTAATAATTTGTTACTAAAGTGGTTTCACTTAGTTTAAAAAATAACTTGAAAAAAAAAACCAGAATATTTAAACAAAATGTACTTATACCAAAAAGTTTCCTATTACTCTAATCATATCATAATTGACAATCAGGGTTTCCCTTCAATTTTATCAAAATTTTCAAATTTTTTTTTACATTTCTTTCCTACATCATCCCATTCTCAAAAAAAGATCCTAAATACTGTACCATGAAAACTTTAGATTTGTGAAAAAGTTATTTTTATTAATGTTTTTATAAAGCTATCTAAATTTCATGAAGCCTTTGTATTCAACTCAAAACTAGTATGACCCTGAAGATCCCTTATAATTCTCATGTTCTGCGGACAGGGCATGTCTGTTCAAAGAGGCAGACAGACAGACCTGATATCAACCCTGGTTCTGCCGCTACTAATAGTTTATACTTGGAGGAGCTAACTAATCTCTCTGAACCTTAGTTCTCCCGTCTGTAAAATGAGAATAATGATAATGCCTACCTCACAGAGTGGTTACATAGATTAAATGAAATTGTTTGCTAAACACTTAATAGTAAGCATTCAAGAAATGGCAGCTATCATTACTACAAAAACCAAGCACAAAAATATTCAGGTATAAGAGATATTAAAGAATTCAGAGACAGATTCCTGTCCAGAGACAACCTTAAAAAATACCATATATGCCAATAAAAACAATTATTTTTAAAAACTATGCTATTACCTGACAAAAACATATTGAAACTTTTTTTTTTTTTTTTTTTGAGATGGAGTTTCGCTCTTGTTGCCCAGGCTGGAGTGCAATGGCATGATCTCGGCTCACCACAACCTCCGCCTCTCGGGTTCAGGTGATTCTTCTGCCTCAGCCTCCCCAGTAGCTAGAATTCCAGGCATGAGCCACCACGCCCAGCTAATTTTGTATTTTTAGTAGAGACGGGGTTTCTTCATGTTGGTCAGACAGGTCTTGAACTCCCGACCTCAGGGGATCCACCCACCTGGGCCTCCCAAAGTGCTGGGATTATGGGCATGAGCCATCATGCCCGGCCGGAAACTTTTGTTTAATTTGGAGTTTGTTTTGCTTTTTTTATGTGCTAGTTTAAGTAGCTGAGTTCCAGCATATCTGGTTGACTGGATGAATGTTTCACCTGCCATCCTTATCTCTGGCCTATTTTAGACACACTTTTTGTAAGAACTGAAGATGCTATTTCTTACCAGGTATTTGTGGGTAAATTTTTTCAACCATGTATTCTCTTAAATTCCTCGGCATTTCTCCTCTAACGTCAACAAGTACTCGAGTTTCACTGGATGAAATCTGGTAGATGAGAACTGGACTCGGGTTAGCTAAAATAAGTTCAGCATGATTTGCTTTAAACTGTGGTGCATTCTAAAAAAAAAAGAAAATGTTTTAATAATTTTCAAATTTCAAGTTTATTTTACTGAAATTACAGTAAGACACTCCTACAGTACCTTCATAAGAAAGCCAACAAAATGAGAGGATACAGAAACTTTATTGGAGATCAGGCTTTTCCTGAACTTGGAGAAAAGCCCATCTGCAACAACAGTCAATGGAGCGTGGAGTTCCTGTAACAGAAATGAAGACTACTCAGTTTAGTAGTCAGAAACACACAGTAAAAAAAAGCCATTCTTAAAAAATGTGCATGAAGAGATTTAAATATATTATCAGATAGCATTATAGAGGGTAGCTGAAGGTAATACTATTGAAGAAACTGTTAGGTGGGCTTCAGATAACGCATGAGCAGTGTTTAGACACTTCCTCTGAGTCGCTGGGGATCATCTCCCTTTGCAGCCCTCTCATGTAAACCATCTGGGATTACTCTCCACTTTGAAAGACAATGGGGGAAACAACTACAAGGCAGGCATGTAACACAGAGCAGTGAATCTCATTACAAATTCCAGGGAGTAGCCAGATTCTTTCATTCTAAAATTCTCTAACTTCATATAGTGCTTTTAGTCAGCAGCAAGGGCTTAGAAGAATTTTTGTACAAATGACTACATGTATTTGTAATACTACGACATAAGCAGAGAAAACATTCCAGTCACCACCATTAGAGTACAATTTCTAAGAGGTGGTAACCGTATGGGGAGCAGTCCAGAATTACGTGTTTTTTACTACAATAAATTTTTTTTAAAAAAAGGATAAATTGGCCCGGCATGGTGGCTCACGCCTGTGATCCCAGCACTCTGGGAGGCTGAGGTGGGAGGATCACCTGAGATTGGGAGTTCAAGACCAGCCTGACCAACATGGAAAAACCCCATCTCTACTAAAAATACAAAATTAGCCGGGTGCAGTGAAACATGCTTGTAATCCCAGCTACTCAGGAGGCTGAGGCAGGAGAATCGCTTGAACCCGGGAGGCGGAGGTTGCAGTGAGCCGAGATCGTGCCATTGCACTCCAGCCTGGGCAACAAGAGTGAAACTCCGTCTCAAATAAATAAATAAATAAATAAATAAAATAAAAGGACATATTGTTCTGAAAAAGATTCACTGTTGCCTGAGTTAAATTGCTCATTTTATCTGAATCATTTATTTTATGTTGAATCTTGTCTTCTTTCCCCTACTAGTTCCCCTCTGCTTCTCTGCTGATGTATATTACTCAGTTTCAAAAGTATTCATATTAGTTCTGTTTAAAAAGCTTTTTGCATAGTCTTCTGAGGTCCTCTAAAGAACAATGTGTTGCAATCTGAAACCTATCCTATTGCACAGGGCTTAGAAATAACTCAGTCCATTTGAAAAATAACACAGGCTGAGTATCTCTAATCCAAAAATCTGAAATCCAAAACTTTTTGAGCAGCAATATGACAAAGAAAATACTCATTGGATCATTTGAAATTTCAGATTTTCGGATTAGAGATGCTCAACTGGTAAATATAATGCAAACATCTGAAGAAAATAAAAAAATCTCAAAACACTTCTGATCCCTAGCATTTCAGAAAGAGATACTCAACCTGTAAATTGGTACGCCTACTTTTTTAAAGCGGTAAGTGAAAAAGAAGGAAAAACAACATCTCTTAGAAGAGGTAACATTTGGTATCTCTCACCTTGATATCTCCAGTCTCCTTATCTTTGTACTGAACTCCCATCACAGCATCATCTTCCTCTAATAACTGTAACACAACACCTTCAATAAACTTTGCACTAAAGAATAAAAAAAATATATATTTCTAAAGCAGCACATTTCAGCAATTTAAATTAAATTCCTTATCTCCAGTTTATCCATATAAACTGGACATGCATGTGTGTACAAACACGTGTCCAATGTGTGGTTTTTATTTTCTAATTTATCAACATTTAATACATATTACTAATGTAATGATTTTAAAAGTATCTTAAAAAGTAACATTGGATTTTTATCTTAATTTGTTAAAAAATAAAATATAGGCAGAGAAACTTTACATACCCTCATACATCGATACACAGAGGGGAAAACAAGAATTGGAATGCATCCTGCAAACTGTTAAGAGTAATTATTTCTGGCCAGGCGTGGTTGCTCACGCCTGTAATCCCAGCACTTTGGGAGGTCAAGGTGGGCGGATCACAAGGTCAGATCAAGGCCATCCTGGCCAACATGGTGAAACCTTGTCTCTACTAAAAATACAAAAATTAGCCAGGTGTGGTGGCGGGCACCTGTAATCCCAGCCACTCAGGAGGCTGAGGCAGGAGAATCGCTTGAACCCAGGAGGCAGAGGTTGCAGTGAGCAGAGATCACGACACTGCACTCCAGCCTGGGTGACAGAGCGAGACTCCATCTCAAAAAAAAAAAAGTAATTATTTCTAGTCAGAACAGGTAATTTTTATAATCTTTATATTTGGGAGTATTTTTCCATTTTCTTTTCTTTTTTTTTTTTTTTTTTTTTGAGATGGAGTTT